CAAAACTTAACAATTATTCCTCGAGCCCTAATGGGCTCTGACGGGCCATGGGGGCGAGAGGAATAATTGTTTTAGTAAAAAATATCGAGATAAAATACAATAACCTTTATTAAGTTCTAATTAGAAAAAAAAAAAAACAATTTGCACGTGCAGCACACTTTTTTGTACATTTCTTTTCTGTATTTTTGCACGACTAAAACGGAAAACTCCCGAGTTAGACTTTATTTTTATGAAGGAATTGTCTTATGTGCTAACCAAAAATTTTGTTGCTTGTGTTCCTGTTCGTTTTACTTTTCCCTGCCGCTCGTTTTCACCTTGCTGACCGCTAGCATTTCTCATTTTCTCACCACCGCAGGAGTGACCGCCGCTGTGAAATTTTTGTTTTTCTGCCATGACGAAATTCGTGTCCTTTGTTTCACTCGTTCTAGCTCTTTCTCTGATATCCACGTGGGTGTAGAGATCAAAAGTAAGGTCGAAGAAGACTCGACTTTGTTGTTTTTTCTCTTTAAATGTCCGGGTGGCCATACGATTTCCTGCCAAGTAAAACCTTGAGTAGCATTTGGAATGCCATACCTATTAATTGAGTTATTTCAATTGGTGTGCCTGTGGTGCGGACGGACGAGCGGTCACGTGGCTATCACATTTCTCGGATACATCGGTAACCAAATTTTCTTACTCATGGTGCTCCTCTTTTATATTAAGCAGTTTTTACAGTTTACTGAGCTTGAAAGTTATATATTATTGTGAAAGGTTTGAATCCAGGAGTCATTTCATAAGTAGGTTGAGTTTGATCGTCTGGGTGAGCGTACTCCTGAATAGGACTGTTGTTGTTGACGGTGACTGACGTTTCGACAACCTTTGCGGTAGTCATCTTTAAAGTCAAAGTGCGTTGTATCACGTCAGCTGATGTTATTAAACCCTGGTCATTGACCTGATTGGTCAATTAAGTCGCGTTGTTATTGGTCGTCTGTTAGTTAAACAGTGATCTTAGGCCCATTTCAAACGTCGTGCTACTGCCGTGCCGAACTCAATTGATGGATTTAAATTCAACTTTAGCACGGCAGTAGCGCGACGTTTGAAACCAAGTCGTGCTACTGCTGAGTAGTACGGCAGGCCTTGCCGTGCCACACGGCTGTAGCTCGACTTGGTTTCAAACGTCGTGCGACCGCCGTCGCGTGCCGAACTCAATTCATAAATTACAAATGCATTAGAATACATTTAAAAGTTTGCTAAACCGTTCCTTTATTATTGTTTTGTTTTCGGCAACAGCCGTTCTATTCGATAGAATTAAATTCGACGTCTGAAGCCAAGTCGTGCTGGTGTCGTGCTGTAGTCGAGCTACAGTCGAGCCAGCTTAGCACGGCAGTAGCACGACGTTTGAAACAGGCCTTATTGGCTATGAAGACTCGTAATGTCATTGGTGCGTTTTGATCCGTCTATTGTCACAGTTAAACAGTCTAAATAAGGAGGAAAAGGCGGGGGGGGGGGGGGGGAAGCAAAAGAATAAGAAAAATTTTGAAAAACAAAGGGGGAAAAACGGGGATACGAGCAGGAAACGGGTGAGGACTTCAAGAGACGGGGTACTGTCACA